GAATTTGTTGGGAAAAAAAGAAGAGGGGGGGGGGGGGGGGGTGGTGGTAAGAGAAGCAGGAAGGGACCAAGACCAAGACTACCTACCGAAATTCAAGAATGTCTTGGAACTGAGGTTTAGGATCACCAAGAACTAAGCACCAGAAGTTCTGGCTTCAGACCTAGAGGAACCAGGACTGGTGCTGGCAGAGACGCCTATGTAGTGTTTTCTGCTCTTGTCCCATACTGGGTGTCTCAAATATTTCTGCAGAGTATCAGATGAGAGTCTATCTCTAAGACCATTGGGCGGAATGGGTGATGGACACGGAGGGGAGCAGAGTAGGGGCAGGGATGGGGGTTAAAATGAATAAAAATCTCTCAGCTACAGAACCCAAAGACATCACTTCCCTCCACATTCACAGCGTTTCTCAGCAGTCCCCAAAGGCTGTTTGTTCTGTGGAGATACAGACATTGATTTTCCTGAATTTGGTTTCTTAGCATCCACATCAAAAGCACAAGCAACAGCAGAAGTAGGTTAACTCAGTCATCACCCAAATTAAAGTAACAATAATGGATTGTTTTTGAGACAGGTTTTCACTACATAGGCTGGACTGACCTTCAACTTGGGAGCCTCAGCCTTCTGAGGATTAGGGATGCTGGTGCATACCACCAAGCACAACCAAGTTACAAACCTCAAATGACATCATTAAGAGGGTGAAGATAACCTGCAGAATGGAGTAAAACATCATAAAAGGATTTCACTTACAATTTACCAACAATTTGGACAATTCAATGAAAAGACAGCACAATTTTTAAATGGGCAAAGGACCTGAACAGACATTGCTCCAAAGACATGCAAATGGTCAATCAACATGTGAAGAGGCTGGTTGAACAGCATCACCAGCATCAGAGAAATGCAAGATACCTGCAGTATATTGTAACAAAACCATCAACCCAAGGGAAGGAGTTCAGTCGGTAGAGCACTTGCCTAGCAAGAACAAAGACCTGCATTTGGTCCCAGCCCTGCATAAAGTAGCTGTGGAAGTACTTTTCTGTATTCTTAGCACTCAGGAGATGGAGGCAGGAGGATCAGAAGTTCAATCATCCTCTCCTACCTAGTGACTTTGAGGCTAGACTAAACTGTATGGAAGGAAATGAGAGAAGGAGGGAAGGGGAGAGAGTGAGGTGAGGAGGCAGAGAAACTGGAACCATCCTCCATTGCTGGTGGGAATGTAAACAGGGGCAGTGGCTATGTGGGAAACACAGAGCAGGCCCTCAAAGAGGTGAAGACATTTTAGGATCTATCCACTCTACTCCCAGGCACATTGCCAAAATGAAACCCTTCCACATAAAAACCGGTGCCAATGTGTTCACAGCACCAACATCTCAACAAAAGCTGTCAGTCCCGCCCACACAATCCCAAAAGATAAGGAACTGAGAGCCCAGGCTGGCTGTAAGAATAGTTTCTCTGAGCTAGGAAACAAGGAGGACCCTAAGAAAGACATACATGGTCTCCCAGAGAAGGAAAAAAGGACAAGATCTCCTGAGCAAATTGGGAGCATGGGGGAAGAGGAGAGGGAGCTAGGAGAAAGAGAAGGGGAGAAGAGGAGGGGAGACATGAGGGAGCAGAAAGGTTGAGTCAGGGGGAAGAACAGAGGAGAGCAAGATAAAGAGATACATAATACAGGGAGCCATTATAGGTTTAAAGAGAAATCTGGCACTATTGAAATGTCCAGAGATCATAAGGATGACACCAACTAACAATCTAAGCAACAGTGGAGAGGCTACCTTAAATGTCCTCCCCTGATAATGAGATTAATGACTACCGCCCAGCGAAGATGAATTCTTAAGTCTACCACAGCTACCAATTCTCAAATTCCCTCATAGTTAAGGAAGGTGATTCAACCATACCAACAAGACAAAGTACCCTCAATGTACACCTACAATTGGGAAAAGATGAACTCTGGAAACGAGAACACTGGGGAGAATACACTTCCCCTAGGAGACTTGGCAAACAGGATTGGTTAACCAGGGTTGTCTCAAAAAGGGAGTTCCATAAATCCCTCGGCTGCAGCAGTACTGGGTGGTATCCACTACCTCATACTTGCCTAGCAAGGGGTCTACTAAGCCATACTCTAACACACAGTTCTAAAGTGATGGTCAAGGCCACTGGATTTAATGAAATCCTCACTTCTTCAGTACTCTTTTCTCATCAGAAATTGAGATTACACTGCAGTCACCCAAGAGGAATCATGTCCTCATCCCACTTCACTGGCGAGGAAGCTCCACATTATCTCCCAGTCCATTGCCACCCTAATTAGCAGCTAGGTGTGAGAGGTCACACAGGGGCAAAATGTGTGGTTTGAAAGAGAATTGTGTCCCATAGGCTCATGCATTTGAACATGTGGCCCCAGCTGGTGCTTTTAGAAGATGCAGTCTTGCTGGAGAAGTAGATCACTGGGGGTGGACCTTGAGGATTTGTAACCTCGCACCACTCCCTGTTTGCATGTGCTCTCTCTCTCTTACACACACACACACACACACACACACACACACACACACACACACACACACACTTCCTATGTGTATGAAAATGAGACCAACTAGCTTTCTACTCTATGCCTTCCTCACCATAAAAGATTCTATCCCCCTAAAACTCTAAAAGCCCAAACAAGCCCTGTCTGCATTTAGTTGCTTTTGTTAGGGTATTTCATCACAGCAATAGAAAAGTAACTAATACAAGGCCCACGAGAAGTTACACAGGTGTACTGTGGCATCTACCATGTCAAGGCAGAGACGTACGCATGCCTCTAGGCTTGAATGTGGCAGATTCTTAGAAACAAGGCAACTGAGAAAAGGTGAAAGGCACAAAATAAATAGCCCCAGTCCTAATAATTCATCCCAGAGCAGGAGAGAGGTCACCACCAGGGTCACTGAGATGGTATAAGAATAGGAGAGTTGTGCAAGGTGTCCCTGTCAAGCTGGCAGGGCTAGACATGAAGCCAGTGACCCAAGAAAGAGGTACAGGAACAGTGTGAGGCAAAAGAGTTGTCAGGAGGGACCAGTACATCTAAGGGGCCTCCAACTACAGTGGGTTCCGGATTTAAAAGATGTATGTCCCCAGCGTCTGCCTGGGAAACAGAAGAAGGGACTGTTAAAAAGCTGAAAGCCCAAGAGAGAAAGGAGCCACTGGCTTTCTACACGCCAGACTTTGTGTCCATGGTTATCGTTAGCTTTCCTGGACTGGGCAGAGTCCCTCCTAGTCTGAGCTTGTTGGTTGAAACAGCAGCTGACAATGGCGCAACTTCTACAGCCAGGGGATCCATGGGGTGGGAACAGGTGCAGGTCTCGGCTGCTCAGAGCCCACACTTCAGGATGATGTGGTAGCCGTCATTGCTATCTGCTGCAAAAGAAACACTGGCATGGGCATGTGTCACAGTGTCACAGTCCCCTTCAAGGTCCCCAAAGTCTACCACAGCATGTATTAAGACAGATGCAAGACCACCTAAATAGCTACATAAGGAAGAGTATGTCTACAGAAGCAGGGATTTCAACCAGGTTTTGGCATCTGCCTTATGTAACCCTCCCCATCCCCCCCACCCCCCATCTCTGCCGTGTGTGTGTGTGTGTGTGTGTGTGTGTGTGTGTGTGTGTCCTCACTGCATCTGCTTTTATGTTGTGTGTGTGTGTGCACACCTGTGCAGAGGCCAAAGGACCAAAGGACAATCTCAGGTATCATTCCTTAGGAGTTATCCATCTTGTGTTTGGGGACAGGGTCTCTCATTGTTCTGGAGCTTACCAAGTAAGCTGGGCTGGCTAGCCAGTGAGCCCCAGGGATCCACCAGTGCCCAACTTTTGGATTCTGGAGACTGAACTCGGGTCCTCCTGCTTGCATGGCAAGCACTGTATTGACTGATCTTCCCAGCCTTCTCACCATAATCTTAGGCCCAAGGAGGCACAGGCAAACTGTGGCTTTGTGCAGGCTCAGAGGACTGTAATCCATTGTCTGTGATATATTTAGGATAAGGCCCATGTTGTGAAAGGGTTAGCCTCCAGCCTATGGCACTAGTGAATGATGGTGGGACCTTGAAGGCTTGGCGCCTAGTGGGAGAAAGTGACATCAAAGAAGGCATCCTTGGAGGGAACATTGAGTCTTAGCTCTTCCTCTTATTCACTTGCCAGCTGTCTTGAAGAGAGCAGAGCAGTTCGCCACACTCATGTTTCCTTGCCATGGGTCCAAATGCAACAGGGCCAATCAGCCATGGACTAAAATTTCCAAAACTGAGCCCAAACAAGCCCATCTTCATTTTTGGTTATCTCAGGCTCGTTACAGTAACAAAAAGCTAACTAATATAACCTAGATTCACAGAATGAGGCAGGAAGTGGTCGCAGCATAGGCTGGAATCCAGTCTCTTGTTCTTTCTTTTTTTTTTTTAAGTCTTAATTATGTGTATGTGCGTGTTTATGTACCTGCAGAGGCCAGAAATGGGCTTTGGGTCCCATGAAGCTGGAGTTACAAGTGGTTGTGACCCACCAGACACGGGTGCTGGGAGCCAAACTCGGCCTCTTTATGTGCTCTCATCCACTGGCCACCTCTCCAGGTCCCAGTCTTCTGTTCTGATGAAGCCCACCCACTTACCCTCCCAGCCCCAAGAACCATCACAGCTGGTCTTCCTCTGCCTTGTGCAGATAAACACAATTCCTGGTATGTAGGCTCACTGTCAGCCAAGCATAGGCATCCTGACATTCTCTCAAGACATCTGGCTCAGATGTGTCCTCCAAGTCCCTGATTCGCTCTGCCTGCCATTGTAGTCCTTGCTTGGGCTCCCAGAGACCTTCTATGAAAGCTCAACCAAGGTCATGGAGAACAATATCCAGGCCTGCTCCCTGGAGATGTCACTCATCCTGGCACGGCTAGGACTAGGTGTGACAAAGCTTGGTGCTCCCAAAGGCTGCTCCAAGTTCAGCACCTTCTGGAAGGACCCTGGCCAGGCAGATCCCACCTGTCACCCTCTGACAGCAGGGAACACAGACACACACTTCTCTCAGGAGGGCAGGGTGGGGCTTACCTTTTAATGTGCTGAGTGTAAAACAAGACTCATCTTGGAAATTCTGAACCATCTGAAAGGCAAAAGAGAGACATGCTCTTCTCAGTGGTGTCTTCACATGTATCACTGCCGGGCTGAAGGGGATGGAGAGACGGCCCAGTCAGTGATTGCTGCTCGAGCATGTGATGCACCAGAACAACATTGGGCTCTCCTCTGACCTCCACACACCCACAGGTCCAAAGTAAAAGACAGAACATTCATTTATTTGTTTGTTTGCTGGGTCACCTAGTCCCTGTACTGGACTAAAGGAAGGGTTTATGTCACAACAAAAATGTATTTTTAAAAAAACTAAACACAAAAACAGGCATGGTGGTATATACTCTTTTTTTTTTTCCCCTCCCGAGATGGGGTTTCTCTGTGTAACAGCCCTGGCTGTCCTGGAACTCACTCTGTAGACGAGGCTGCCCTCAAACTCACAGAGATCCACCTGCCTCTCTGCCTCCTGAGTGCTGGAATTAAAGGCCTGGCTAGTGGTGTACACTCTTAATCCCAGAACTCTGAAGGCAGAGGCAGATAGATCTCTGTGAGTTTGAGGCCAGCCTGGTCTACATAGTTAGTTCTAGGAACACCAGGACTACATAGTGAGACTGTCTCAATAACAAATAAGAGAAATTAAATCACATACCAGAAAAATCCCAGTTTTTGACAACAACATGACACATATACAATTGATGGAGTGAACAATTCTCATTGCTTAATGGCACTGTGGTCCTGGTAACATTACTCATATCTGTGGGATACTGTAAACACCCTACTACATTGCCAGTATGGTACAGATGATGACAGACACACAGTACACACCTGCCACGCCATCCTTTGTGCTCTCACACACCAGGCCCCTTGGCTGCATCAATGCCATGTTTAGTGACTCACGGTACCATCCAGGTTTTGAATGTCTGTAAGCTAGGGTGTTTCCACAGTGATAAAATCACCTAGAAAAGCATTTTCATCCTTCAAGAGGCTCGTGACTAGAACATGTTTTTAAATGGAACAACAATTGTGCCTGATGCAAAATATCCTCTTCTAGACCCATGTCACTTGATTTAGGGTTGGTGGCACCATTGGGAACTTATGGGACCTTTAGGAGGTGGGGTCAATGGGTAGTCTTGAGTGTTTATAGCTGGACACCACTTTTCTGAAGGGCCCAGCAGCCTCCCCTGCTCCTGCTGTCATACTTTCCCCTCAATGGAGCACAATAAACCCTTCCTTTCTTGCATTGTTTCTTGTTGGGTATTTTGTTACAGCCACAAAAAAGTAGTGTCAGTGGCTTGAAAAGACCAAACAGAAAGGAACTGCTGTACTCCCAACATGTGCAAGAAAGATAACTCATAGCCACCTCTCCCAAGCTCTCACTATGATTACTAACCAGTGATCATGAGAAAAAAAAATTCTGTCTCCATGGCCCCATCTGTGACATGGAGCATCATGATGATAAAATGTAACCAGGATATACAAGGGAAGCATCTCCAGAGGGTGATAAATCTTTGGGAAACTTCATCTACTGGAGGTCACCCCTGGAGTTCCCTTGCAAGGCATGTGCCCTAGACAAACCCCTTCACATGTACAGCCTCAAGACATGCTGAAGAACATTGACAGCAATACTGATCACATAAAGCTCACACCATCAACGGCAATGCCAGTGGCAGGAGTGTGAGCCAACTGGGATCTAACCATGCATAGCACTCGGAGGTATAGTGACCCTCAACTGCACACATCAGAAACTGTGAATCAAAAACATATGGTGGAGTGAAAAAAAGGGGCCCCAGAGGAATGCATGGCTATTCCACATTAAAGCAGGCAGAAGAAAGTGGCCTACTGGGCTGAGGAGATAGCTGGTTGGTAGTGTGCTTGCTTTGCAGGCTTGAAGATCTGAGTTTGATTCCCAGAACCCAGGCTAAAAACCCACCCAACAAAACAGGCATGATGCTGTGGGCTTGTAACTCCAGGCTGGGCAGATGAAGACAAGAGGATTGCTAAGGTTCCCTGACCAGCCACCACAGCCTACTTGGCCAGCTCTAGGACATGAAGAGACCCTGTCTTAAAAGCCAAGGTGAGTGGTGCCAGAGGAACAAAGCCAAGGCTATCCTTCAATCTCCACAGCACACATGTGAACTGCCCCCACCCTTAAATAGCATGTCAGGGAAAAAAGAAATGATTACTATAAAATGAACAGGCAAGGGTCAAAGATGATACAAGCCTATAAAGAGGTTATAACCATCCCATTCCAGTAAACTGGGTACAAGGACTTGGCTACTTATTAAAATGTGTAAGTCAGGGCCCATGAGGTGGGTGAGCAGGTAAAAGCACTTGCTATGTAAGCCTGGAAGACCTGAGTTTGATTCACAGAACCCACAGAGGGAGGGGGAGGGAAAAGCCACACGTGCGCGCACACACACACACACACACACACACACACACACACACACACACACAAGCTTACAAATAAGTATCTGTAGGAGACCACTTATGCACACATGTAAAACCAGATTTAAAAACAAAATGTACATTAACTTTAGAAAATTTTTGCATGTGTTGGCTGTACTTCCCAATATACACTTCAGAAATAGTTCAAGTATAAACATGTACATAAACATGTGTGCCAAACCCAACAGGATAGCAAAGCCCCTTTCAATTAAAAAAAAAAAAAAGCAACCCACTTTTTATTGCCTGCTCTGGACTCTGCCTCAAATCCTACAAATGCACCCACCTGTCGACCCTGACCCTCCCTGCAGGGCCTAATGGTGCATGAAGCACATTTATTCTATACCTCAGCCTGCTCCAGCTCGGACTCTTGGCCGCCCAGCCACTTGGGCATGAAAAGCCCTAAGCAGGGCCCACAAGGGCTTAATGAGTAACTCCCTTGTTTAATTGAGTGCCCTTGCACCCCAGGGGCTGGCTCCATGCTGGCCAGGCTGCCTCCAGCATTCTGGGTAATTCTGTGCTGAAGGTTTCTAAATTGATTTGGGTTGAGTGGGAAGGAGACTTGGGGGAGTGAGAATGGCCTACTTAGCCAAGGTGGCATTTGAGGTCTGTTCTCTGCTTCACTTGCTTAAGTGCCTGTTGTTGAGGGCACAGGGCAAGTGGGGGAGGGACTTCCTCAGGGACCTGGGAAGTTGCAAAGCACATTCATGGTTTTTATCTTCTCAAAAAGAAATCCACAGGGACCTGAGGACGTGGCTCCATTGTTAAGTGTGCTTGCTTAGCTAGCATGTACAGAGTCCTGGGTTCCATCTCCAGTGCTGCACAAACCAGGTGTGATGCACTACAAGGCTGTAATCCTAACACACTATGATCCTAGCACTGGGGAGGTGGAGGTGGGAAAAATCAGAAAGTCAAGGTTATCCTTGGCTACACAGCAAGTTCAAGGCCAGCCTGGGCTACAGATCCTGTCTTAAACAAGCAATTCTCTTGGAGGTACAAAGTGGCATGACTTCTATCCCACTAGAGTAGTCTGCCACTCAGAGGCCCTTGTGCCCTCCTAGCTCATCTTAGTCAGCTTTAGAGGCAGGTTCCATTTTCATTTTCTGTGAAATAAAAGTAAAAAGTAGCTGCTTTAAGCTAGACCTGGTGGTACATGTCTGCAGTTCCAGTACTCACAGGCAGTGGCAGGATGACTACATACAGCATGATTGATGCTAACCTTGTCTACACAGTGAGTGCTGGGCCAGTCAGGGTTTACACTGAAGCCCTACCACAAAACAAAAAACAAAACAAAACAAACAAACAAACAAAAAAGAACAAGGAAGCGTAACTTGATTAAGCTGGGCCTGTGGTACACCCCTGTAACCCTGGCCCTCAGGAGGCAGAGGCAAGCAAAGCCGGCAGCGAGGACAAGACCAGCCTGGGCTTCATCGTTAGTTTCAGGACAGCTAGGGTTTCATAAGGAGAATTTGTCACAAAACAAAAGCAAAAACAAAACAAAATAAGACAAAGCAGAACAGAACCACAGCTCCCATTTCATAAGAGGTTGGCTCTCTTACTGGCTCAGCCCTCCAACATCTGGGTTCCTACCAAATCTCTACCCCATCTCAGCTGTGGCATCTGCAGGTAACTACTCAGTATCTCTGTGCCTCAGTTTCCTATGTGTGTTATGGGATGCTAGCATGGACTTTTGTGTACACACACACACACACACACAGAGAGCGCGAGAGAGAGAGAGAGAGACAGAGAAGAGAGAGGGAGAGAGGGAGAGAGAGGGGGAGTGGGAGAGAGACAGAGAGACAGAGAGACAGAGAGACAGAGAGACAGAGACAGAGAGAGAAGAGAGCAGCCAGGGCACAGCAGCATTGACAGGTTTGGATCTGGAGTGTCTTCCCCAAGGCCCCTGTGATCAAAGCTTTGTCTTAGCCTCTGGTGCTACTGGGAAAGAGGTGGGACCCACTAAAAAGTTAGGTCACTGGGGTTAATATTGAAGGGAATATTGGGACCTTAGCGCCTCACCCAACCTGCTTCCTTCTTGACCATAGTGAGAACAATTTGCTTAGCCACATACCTTCCATAATGGGTTATCTCACCACCAGCCCCAAACACCAGGAAGCTGACGACGGATCAAAATCTCTCAAACTGTGAGGCAAAGTCGTGTGTGTGTGTGTGTGTGTGTGTGTGTGTGTGTGTACACCTCCTCTCTAGCACTGGGGTATACCACCATGTCCAGCTTTTGAAATGGGTTTAGGAAATTGAACCCAGGTGCTCACATTTTCAAGGTGAGCTCTTTACTGAATGAGTTTTTTCTCAGACTGAACCTTTCTTCTTGAGTTCACGATCTCACATATTCATCACAGTTCCAGGAAGCTAACCGATACAATACCAAACACTCAGTGGAAGGAAGATCCAGGACACAAGCTTAATTTAAGATCATCTGTTCCATCATGGGCAAGGGATGCCCAATTTGGTGGGCAAGTCTGCTCAACACAGCAGTCCCCGAAGGGCTGAGGCAAGGTTCCAACAGAGCTCTGTCACTTCCTAGGCCTTTTGTTAGCAGCTCTTTCCACGTTCCTTCCATGGGATTGTGTTGAACACCAATTCAGTGGTAGGAATCTTCAATGCTGAAGGAGGCCTTGCTAGTATCTCCCATGAGCCACAGCTGCCCCTCCATTAAACTACTGGCCTCTTCAAACTTGCTCCCCACTTGATGGGTGGCACAGTCTTCTGACTGTGCATATGTCCCAAAGCACCCAGCTAAGGACATGTAGAGAAAGCTGTCCCCTGAGCATAACAGCCTACTATTACCATCTTAGTCACAGCAGCTATGACTACCCACAAGGGACCCTCAAGAACGAGACTGTTGGGCTGTGGAGATGGCTGGGCTAATAACAGTGTTTGCCCCAAGTCTGATATCTAAGTCCCATGTGGTAGAGGGAGAGAACTGACTCCTGCAAGTCTTCCTCTTACCTTCCTCTAGCATGCACTCACCCACCTGCCACCCCTCACAAAATAATAAATGTGATAAAATGTTTTCAATTATAGGATTTGTTGCCAGTCCCTTATAGAGGGAGGGCAGGGAGAGGGTTCTTGGCTCCTCACATCCCTCACACCAAGCTGATTCTTCCTATACCTCCCTCCCAGGTTTATATAATTAGCTTGGAAGGTTAACTGAAAGAAAAACCCCATCTCTATAGCTACGGATGGGGAGACTTTTCCGTAGTGCGGCCCTTGTGGGATCACCTACACTCCTGTAAGTAAACCTAATAAATTAATCAGTCCTAGAATTGTTTACTTTAGTCTGTGGCTGATGCCCTATCTTGGGGGAGAAGACACTTGTTCATGTTTTTCCAGGAAAAGAGATAGAGGTTCTATGGAGGGGTTGTGACCCACAGGTTGTGACCACTGGCGTGGAGTCTGCCCATGTGCAGGGTCTGGGGCTCTTGAGGGCCAGGCTTACCTCATTGCTCACCACCACGTGGATGCCAGTGGGGCCCTGCCGGTAAACCCGGTGAATGTGCTGTGGGGGAATGCTGTACAGGCTGGCGATCTTCTCCATCAGCTCCAGGGTGGTCAGCTCTTCCAGGAAGATGGCATGGTATACTGGGAAGGAGCAAGTGCCTTCTTTTAAATGAACAAGACTCTGTCCATGTGTCCCTACCCCATCCTGAGAAGCCAAGAGCTCCCATGTGTGGGCGCTCATGCCCAGAGCTATGGATTCTGCTGGGAGCTTGAGAAGGCTGGTGTAGCCTTCTGACCAAACCAGACCCCAAGGCACCCAGCTAGGGGAGGGGAGGGGAGGCCCTAGAGGGAGAGTGGAATTCAGATGTGGTGCCTGGTGTGTACAGTCCCTGCTCTGTGGGAGCAGACAGCGCCATATCACCTTCCCAGGGGTTACTCAGTGGCTTCTGGTGGCAGAAGGATATTTAAAGACTATTATCAGTAGATGCTCAGGAGACAGCCACCTGAGTACCAGTGTTCATTGATCCCTGCTTACCCACTGTGGATGCTACTTGACCAGGTACATCTTATTCTTACTGCCATGTCTTCCCTGCTACATGGACTGTGCCCTCAAACTGAGAGGCATAACAAACCCCCTTCCTTACGCTGCTGTGACTTGGGTTGGGTATTCTGTCACAACAAGAGAAAACTAAAACATTGAGAGCAGAAACTGAGAGGGGTGCAGACTCTGCTCCACTCACTCACCACACAGGCTATTGTCCCCACTGCCGTCCTGCTTCTGTGGTAAGGGTACTCGGTTCTGCTCCAGCTCCTGACAGACATAGATGGTCATTTTTGGCCTCACATTCCTGGCAAAAGAGGAAATAACTAGCAGATATGATGGCTGTTGCTCTAGAATGTGCTGGAATATTCCAGAGTCCAGAGTAGAATTCGCAGTATGGAGTGTTTTAGGGAAGAAGCAGGTGATAAAGATGCAGTATGCCTCTCGCGGACAGGTTCCCAGGGATAGAGTCCAGTCCTGATGGATCTTTACAGCTTCATACAGGATGTTCTGGAGAAGGGGGTAGAGGATTCTTTGCAACCTGCCACGCTGAGACTTTTCTATAGACCTGAATCTCAAGATCAGGATCTCAAGAGGTGGTATGGTGGTGGGGAGTATAGCCTGGTGATAGAGCTTGCACTTGGCATGTGTGAAGCCCTGGGTTTCATCCCCCAAGGGGGCGAAGAAAAGAGACAGAGAACTTGACATACAGAGTTCCTCACACAAAAATGAGCTTGGCTCATCCCCATTTCACATATAGGGAAACCGAGGCTCAGAGGGGCAAATGGCCTTTTTGTTTTTTCCATTGCACAGCTCCTGGGAGGCAGATCTGGGATTCACCCTCAATTGTGTTCTCTCACTCTACAACTTTACCCTCCCCAGCTGGCTATTGTGTTTTAACTTCAGGGCTCAGGAGCAGCTCAACAACAGAGCACATGTTAGCATTCACAAGCTCTGAGTTCTGGTCTCAGCACCAGAAAAAAAAATGAGCACAAAATCGCAATAAAAACTTATATTTGGTTTGACTGTGAAGTTAAGTCTAGTGCCACAGTACAGGGTTCCACATGGCCAGGTTTCCGGACTATCATAGAACTTTCATTTCCATGGTGGCAGAGAGTTCTATCACCCAGCATGGTGCTGAAAACTGCACTGTGGTTTTCAAGGCCAAACCCCGCCCCTGGGGTGTCAGGTCTCAATCAGGACTCTCCAAGTGTCCAGAGTCTCTGGGCTAGTGACTAAAGGCCAAGATCCACAGACTCTGGGTCCAATGGAGGAGAGGGAAGATGTGATGGTTTACACTGAGAATCTAGAATCATAGGAGAAAAACTTCTGCGGGGGTGGGGGGGGTTGTTCTAGCCCCACCATAAAACACAGGCATCTCCATTTCATGAACTGTGCTCTCATACACCACACAAAGAAGCAATCTGAATCGCCAGCACTCTTCTCTTCCCGCTTTCTGACTTTACAGGCATAATGTGACCAGCAGCCTTCTACTACTTCAGCCATGGGCTTCCTTGATGAACTGTACTGTGGGGAGTGGAGGAAGCCCAGGGTGTGTGAAGTCCTGAGTGAATGTGTGCTGTTGCCATAAACTGGCCAGGCCAGGGCTGCAGAGATGGCTCAGCGGTTAAGAATACTGGCTACTCTTACAGAGGTCCTGAGTTCAATTCCCAGCAACCATATCATAGTTCACAACCATTTATAATGGGATCTGATGCCCTCTTTGGCACCCAGAGAACTCATCTCTAAAAATATACATAAAGAAATAAGCTGACCATACCAAGGACCCAAGCCTCAGGCCCATAGGAAAACGGCAAAGCCTTGCCCTAAAGTGAGGCTCAGAGTCCTTGTGTGAATATTGATAGTGAGTTCAGAAAACGTCCACCGTGGCACCACCCCCTTGATATTTATGGCCTGAAGACTGATCCCCTGAGAGACAGTTCCTACTGAGATTAGTTAAATCATCCTTGCTCAGCTGTATACCATAAATCCTCCTTCCTGTTTATCTGCATGTAGTAACCCTTGTTTACCTGCATACAAGAACCCACCTCCGTGTTCAACTCTCATAAGCACACCGAGCCTCCCTCCATCAGGGAAACCAGTCTATCTGAACCCAGCTTTCCGGTATGTAAGTCTGCCATTTCTTCATTACCTAGCTGCCCCAGTCTGGTCCATCTCTCAAGCGGTGCAGTACTGTACCTTCAAACCTCGAGCCAAAATAACCTTTCTTCTCATAAGCTGCCTTTGTCAGGCATTTTATCATTGACAATGAGAAAATTAACACTGAGGTATGTCCAGTCATCGTTGAGTGATCTCCACACGGCAGCTCATTCCCTGTCCTACCCCTAACACCTCCTCCAGCTCTTATTTAACCCCATGCTAAAAGAGGGATCCCTTCCATCACCTAGTCCCGCCAGCAGGCTCACCCACAGTTCAAGAGGCTGAGGTGGGGCTCCTTGCTATCCACAGGCAGCCCAGTGGCCACAGTCTTTTTGGCTGCTTTCTCTAAACTGACACTTACCTGCCTTTGATGGCATTGAAGAGCCGAATCCCATCTGCAGGGCCGCAGACCTGGACCAAATCATCTCTGGACATTTTCAGCAGATCAGCACCTAAGTGGAGACATGCACCAAGGGTCACATGGCATATACCCGCAGACCCCACAGCAGGGCTGGGGAAAGTAGGGCCAGCCTCACCCTCAGTGAGTACTAGACCTTCCACAGAGAGGAACAGCATAAGACTAAACGACCCCAGGAGCTGTACAACATCAGAAGCTAAAAGCTAGTGTGCACACAAGTACAAGGAGATAGTCTACCCAGCCCTACCCACCTGCCTACCCTCCTGGCTTTCTGAGTTTTCCATCAGCACTAACTGTTCTATTGCACAGATTTCACCAGAATGCTGCCACCAATGACACACAGATGTCTCTGTGCAGAAACATACAGCTCGCAGGAGGTTGACAATACAAACACACTCCTGAGACCAGCACAAACCAAGAGGCAGAACACTGGCCTCCCAAGAGACACAGCCACGGCCAGACCTATCACCCCATTTGAAGGGGAAGAGGAAGGCCAGTATCTGGCAAGAACAGAGGAGGATGGCAGTTAGTAGGGATGCCAGCTGTGTGAAAGACTGAGGCCCCCGGACCCCAGAGGATTCTCCAGTCATCTCCTTCATCTCCCTCAGGTGGGATGTCAGGAGTAGCTCTGCAAACACAATGACTCCCCACATCCAACCCTTACTTTTTCTTTTCTTTGAGACATGGTTTCATGTAACCCTGGGTGGCCTTAAACTATATAGTTGAGGTAACCTTGAACTTCATTCTTCTACCACCTGAGTGTACTACACCCATGGTTATGTGGTGCTGGGGCCTTGGTGCATGCTAGGCAATCAATCTACTAACTGAGCTACAGTTCCAATCCAGAACGGTTGGCTTTGTGTTGAGGTTAAAAGCCAATATCCTCCTATGGTCCAACCAGAATCCATGTCACTCCCCACTATCCCCTGCCCCATCCTCACTGCCTTCTCTGTTCCATTCTGTGGCACCTACCTCATAGCCTCTGTTCTCTCTCTGCCTGCAGAGCTCTCCCCTACCACTCCCACCTCTCTCTAGCACTCAAGGACCCTGGGTAAGCTCTGCTCCCCTCTGCGCCCCTCCCACCACAGGTCAGGAGCCATTTCTCTCCTCCTTTGTCCAGCACAGGTCACAGTGCACTGAAGTGGCCAGTTCCCACAGTGGTAGAAGGACCCTGGTTGTCCTTGCACCTTCTAACTTCCATTAAGAATGCTCTTGGAAATAAAGTTGATATAACTAGTTATTCCTTTGTTCCTACTGCTGCAGACAACTGCTCCCCAAATTACAAAGGACCTTTACCCCCCCCAATTCAGGTTAACTGCTTAGGGGTCAGGCTCACTGCTTTGTTCACCTTTCTACCCCATAGCACCCCATTTACAACATTCATATGATGGGCATGCGTTGCCCTGATTGGCCAAGAGACCCTGTGATGGTTAATGCTGTCAACTCAACAGGATCTAGAATCACTTAGGACACTAACCTCTGACATGTCTGTGCGGGAGAGTCTAGATTTGGTTAGCCTAGGTGGGAAGACCCACCCTGAATTCAGGCAGCACCATCCCATGGGCTGGGATTCTGGGCTGAAGAAAAAGAGGGAGGGAGCTGAGTGCCAGCAGTCAGCAGTTTCCTGACTGTGGATGCCCTGTGAACAGCTGCCTCATACTCTCCTGCCCCCCCCCCCCGCCTTAATGAACTGTATCTTCAAACTGTGAGACAAAATAGCCCTCCCCACATGCCACATCAATGAGAAAAGTAACCAATAAGAGCCCTACCTGGGCAGGTCAGAGCCCAGCCATACCTTCAGGGAGAGGATGTGAGTAGTCACTCAACAACCTCTCAAGTTGAACTTGACAAGGATTGTCTAGGGACAGAATGTCATACCACAAGCTGTAAGAAAGGGAATCCACACTGAGGGCTCTCCTGGACACAGCCACAGGCCCATGGGGCCAAGAGCAAGCCAGAACACCTGTGGATCTCAAACTTAACTCCACAATGCTCACCCGAGAAGCTGGCGAAGAGCCGGCAGAACTGTGAGAAGCGGTTGCGGTACAGCCACTGCTGGGCATCCTGGATAGAGGCAGAGGGAAGCAGGTGCTGCAAGCAAGAGAAACGAGGCTCAAAATGGCCACAGAGCCAGAGGAACCCCTAGCCCGCCAACAACCACACATACTTACATCATTGCCCAAGGGTAAGGGCTCCACTGGGTGGGTAGGTGAGCTGTTGCTGTAATGGAAAAGATATGGTAGATGAGTATGAGGACATGAAGAAGGTTCCAGAATCTACGCGGTGCCTACATTCCAGTAGGTGTATGACTTGCTTTAAATAAGTCCAACAACACTGCTTGAGTCAGACAAACGTAATAAGACCCAATCTCTCAATCTCCTGAATTCAACTGTCACTGTATGGGGGGTTTAGATGACTACACTGTTCAAGCAACAATAACTCTACCTGGATAGTCTATAGCAACAACCAAAAAGGGCTTGTCTATTATGATTGGATCGTGTGCTGCATGGTGGAGCCTCACCCCTGTGATGTTTCACCTTCGTAGGATTTAGAATCACCATGGAAGCAAACCTCTGAACATGTCTGGAAGAGTTTCTATATCAAGCTAAATGAGGTGGGAAGACCCACTCTAACCATGGAAGATGGGCTGAGGTCCTGGACAGACTGTAAAGGAGGAAGTGAGCTGAGCACCAGCAGCCATCTCTGTATCTTGCATCCTAACTGGATGCAGTATGACCAGCTGCCTCATGCTCTAGTAGCAATTGCTTCTACATAGTATCAAGGAGACTGTATCTCCACAGTATCAAGGAGACTGTATCTCCTTGAATTCTGAGCTGAAATAAATCCTTAAGTTACTTCTTGTCAAGAATGTTGTCCCAGGGCAAGGAAATAGCTAAATTACCCAAGTTCTAGCCTAAGAAAAGGACAAGCTGATGAGGACACAGGCCTCACTCCTTCCATTAATTCAGCACCTAGGAAGCTGCAGCTGGACCAGAATCATGAACCGAATCCTAGCCAGGAGGCACATAAGGACCACTGTGCTGTATAGAGATATATTCGATATATTTGACTCAGCACCTGTAACCGTGCCCAAAGGTTACAGGTGATTAAAGAGAAAGGATCAGGGCTCTGGAGCCCCAGAATTCACAGAGAGCTTGGAGGAGGCAGGACTGCATACTTGGGTACTTGGAGCAGGAATGCCGCGACAGTCACTTGCTGTTTTCTATGTAAGTTCTTCAACCAGTAAAACTCCACTAATCATTCATACTGGTCTGGTGAATCCTTAATTCCCATGCCATCATCACTGAATCCACAGGTTGGTATTCACTTAGAAAGAAAAACATGGCCTGGGTTTTCCTAATAGGAAGGTACTAGAAGCACTTGCCATGTTTAAGTCCCAACACCCACATAAAAACTGGTGCATCATGGCATGCCTCTAATCCCAGTCCTAGGAAATAAGACAGAAGCTTCACTAGAGAGCACTGGCCAGCCAGCCTCACTCACCAAGTTAGTGAGCTCTAGGTTCAGTGAGACTCTGACTCAAAAAGAGAGGTAAAGAATGACTGACATCTGCTTCCAGCTTCCACAGGCACACACATGCATACCCATACATTCACATGAACATGTACACACAGGCCCAGGCCCCTTGCAGAGATGGCCCTCAACCCGGCCATCAGTCACTACAGCATCCCTTCCACTGTCTGTATCACAGGCACATGTCTCCTCACAACCATGTATTGAACCCCTAATCCCCCCCCTTCTGCACTGGGGAGGGTAGACATTAAAGAACAGGTCTGTCTGATCTAAATGCCCCTTTTCTTTTTATTCTATGCTCATGAGAAGACATTTCACAACAGTAAAGCCAAGCTCACAGACAGCCTTGCTTTTTTTTTCTGTCTTTTCTTTATTTCCTGGAGCATATCTCCTTTAGTTTGGGCTGGCCTTGAACTTGCTTCATAACCTTGAACTGCTGATCTTCTTCCTCTACCTCCAGAGAATACTGGCATTGCAGGCGCCACCACACCAGATTCTGGAGACCAAACCTAGCATTTCCTCTACCAAATGAGCTCCAGCTCCATCCCCAACCCCGACTTTCCATTAAAGATGGACTGCTGAGCAGGGGCTCAAAAGGCACAAAACACAGAGGTTCTGTCTTTGAGAGTTAGCAGCATCCAGGCTGGAGTCCTTTCCTCACTCCCAGGACATCACTGCAAAGCAATCATAACGATGTCAAGAGCCTCCATCTGCAACTGTCAGTTAGAATCTGTCTATCATGTCTTTACTGTCCTGTCACTGAGCCCTTGGGGCCACATGGCCTATCTGCCGAGTCAGTCAAGTTCAGCAAGCTTTGGTGCTACAAACACTGAAGCCAGGGTGGAGGCTCCTACCTGAACAGTGCCTTCAGAAAGCATTCACAAGAGGTAAAGAGAAAACTAAGGAGGATCTTCTGAATGCCTCAGCCATCCAGCACCCACCTCAGGTGAACACTGGTTTTCAAGGTAAATTCTCACAAACCTGTTACCACTTGTGGAAGTATACACAAAAGAACACACACACACACACACACACACACACACACACACACACACACACACACTGTCA